ACTGTGCTGCAAGTGCCGTAAAACTATTACTCTAAACTAAATCATGTTTGAATTTCAGTTAAGTATACGGGTATCACTAGGAGCAGGTCACTAAACCATCATTTACCTCGGTGAATAAACTGAGCTTTTCATTGATACATATATATACATACACATATATATACACACCTCAGGAACACAATGGAGGCCTACTTAAGCAGACCTGTCAATCTAATCTATATGTATATATATATATATATATGTATATATATATATATATATGTATATATATATATATAGATATATATATATATATATATATATATATATATATATCACTACAAGTACAATATGAGGCTTGCCAGCTTTTACAAAACCAAACAGGGACACCTTGCGATATAAATAATATAACTTCAGAAGACCCAACAATCATAGGAACAAAATTACATCAAGTGAGACTGGTTTTGCCGATTGCCGAATCTGGGAGGGTCCCGGGAAATTGGGGACGGTTGACAATCCCGCTATCATAAATTACACGTACGTCACGTACAAGCAGCAAGTAAGGGGCGTGGCAACCTATGACCCCCTAGCCAGATACAACCCAACAAGGAATTCATCAATTCAACTGCTGAGCTTCAAGTTCAAGCCAAAAAGAAAAAACTGCTTTCCGAACCTTTCTCTCCCTGCCATTCTGTCTCAATCAGAAATCAAGAAGGTCAACTATATATATAACCCTCACTCCTCACTGGCCTGTATGCAAAGTGGAGTTTACACACCGGTGGTTTTATAAGTTTTAGTAGAGGTTTTACGGCGCTCGCAACTGCATAAGGTCATATGAGCACCAAGGGGTTGGATATCAACAGAGAAGTCTTTACAGGGAATCAGACTTATTCTGCTCACCTCTCTAGCCTCAACACCACAAAGTCTGCTTCGACTATCAAGGCACCCCGAAAATAGCGGGTCACAAGAGAGTGACAAACATACAAAAGAAGTAGAGGTAAAATGATGATAGTAAGGATTAGGAAAGAAAAAGCTGCAGTTCCCTGTTGCAGTACAGGCACAGTATGAGTATGAGCATGACATTGTTGAATCAGCCCATTTACAATTCTACTGTGCATAAGAACATGTTCATGTCCCCACTTTGGGAATGGCCTAAAGTCACTTCAGTCAGCAGCACCGCCCCAGGGGGTGCACTACACCGGTGGAAATTAAGAAAAACTCAAGAATCATTTCTTTTCTTCTCTTCCCTACTATCCTTGAATGACTTAACCCTAAGCAAGCACAAAGAGGCTCCTTTCAACTAAAAAACAAAGATCAAAACTGACTCGTAACATTCAAATAATTAAAGAGAAATACATTATAATTGTTTGACTTCACAACAATTCTGTCTCTCTCTCTCTCTCTCTCTCTCTCTCTCTATATATATATATATATATATATATATATATAAATTATAAAAACATACACCACAGTACCCTTCCCACAAATAAAATGTGCAACATCGCTAATAAACAAAATAACAATTATCCAACAGCAGGTTCTGAAAACAGAGAGACATGGCATAGCTAAATCATAGGAGGACATGATGGGTAAACGTGCACACAAGTTTTTCCACAGCACAACAAGATGACAATCTCCATCTTGTCCCTCAACAAACGGGCACGCTGCAATACTGCTATGGCATGAGCCGTGCTATTGCATCAATCCATTTTGTTGGCAAGCTGTTCAGATCTTGTACTAAGCCCAAAAACTTTGGACATGTTTCCCACTGCAGTGTCTCAATCTGCAGTACTATTAGTACTATTAGAGGCTGATATATGTGTCTCAACCTGCAGTACTATTATTACTATTAGAGGCTGATATATGTGTCTCAACCTGCAGTACTATTATTACTATTAGAGGCTGATATATGTGTCTCAACCTGCAGTACTATTAGTACTATTAGAGGCTGATATATGTGTCTCAATCTGCAGTACTATTAGTACTATTAGAGGCTGATATATGTGTCTCAACCTGCAGTACTATTAGTACTATTAGAGGCTGATATATGTGTCTCAATCTGCAGTACTATTATTACTATTAGAGGCTGATATATGTGTCTCAACCTGCAGTACTATTATTACTATTAGAGGCTGATATATGTGTCTCAACCTGCAGTACTATTATTACTATTAGAGGCTGATATATGTGTCTCAATCTGCAGTACTATTATTACTATTAGAGGCTGATATATGTGTCTCAACC